TGCCGCAAGAGAGGAGGCCCGAAGAGGAGATACAAGGACTGCCTGAAACAGTCCCTCAGCCTTGGCAATATTGACCACAACCATTGGTCTACCCTGGCCTCCAATCGGGAGGCCTGGAGACACACCATCTATAACGCTGCTGCTGCTTTTGAGAACACACGCAGGATCACTCTCGAGGAGAAAAGACAACGCAGAAAGATTCGCGTCTTGTCGATATCACCTGGAGAGTCTTTCTGCTGTATGTTCTGCAACCGGACTTGTCTATCTCGCATTGGCCTTTTTAGCCATCAGCGCGCTTGTAGCAAGCGTGGGTAGAGCCCCTCTCAAATCTTCGTTCGCGAAGCCCAGCCATGATGATGATGATTTTTGGTTTGTTATCAGTACAGGCCTGAAATGTCAGATCTTGTTTTTTTCTGTTGTCTACTTTGCATATGTTGCATTGTGTAAAAGATAAAATCAAATCTCAAATAGACTAAGGCAAGTTAAGGTAAATCTGCACAGTTATGAAAGCTTCCAGAATTCTCACTATTTAAATGTGTGATACATTAGTTCTTGATTTTTGTACACTGATAGGGGAGGGAAGTCTAGTAAAAGGCAAGAACAGAGAAGGAAAACATGATGAGAGATGAGCAGCAGCTCTGTTGAAATGGCTGATGAGTCTAGACTCTTTTCAAAGAAGGGATGGAAGAGGGCTGTGGTAGATGAACAGGGAACTCATGAATAGGATGGGAAGGATTATTTCAGTTCAGTCAGGTGGGTCTGAGTGTTTACCAGCTTTAAGAAAGAAAGGACTTTCTCATATGAAACAAATGGCAGAACTTGTTGCCTCAGGACATAGAGAAAGCCAGAAGTGTAAACAGATTCATGGAGTACGAGTTCATGTTCATTGGTGACTAAGAACAGTGATGACCCAAATGCAACATGTGACTAGATAGTACCTGATTTTTTTTTGTGTGTGTGTGTGTGTTAAGGAGGAATAACAGCTTAGCAGGGAAGGACTCTCAATATTTATTACATGAATCTTTAGCATAAACTAATAAGGCTGTTTTTCTAACTTGTATGACTGAAATGTGTGTGGTACAGCTATCATACTTTTCTTTATCCTTGGAGTAATTTGTTTCAATGGGCTGTATATTGTGGATAATTATGTGATAATTCAACATTATGAAAGCTTCAAGTCCACATCTTTTTTTTCTATTCTGAAATATGTGTTGAATTCTGTAATAAAGATTTGGCCAGCTATTTCACTGCAGACACCATTTTTGCTTTTCAGATGTCTGGGTCATTGCAGTATTTTTGTTTCAGTGGTCTTTAATGGAGGTAACTTCCATGGATTATTTATGGATTCAACAGAATTCAGTTTTGCTTTGAACTATGAATAACCCTTGGAAAACAAATACTGAGGAACATCATATTCTGCCCTTCTTCTTTCATCCATAGTTGTTGATCTCAACTACCTCTCCGTCTTCCTTCTTTCTCCTTCCATACCTGCTTACTTCATATTCTGGTCATTTTAACCACTGGTGCTGTCTGTAAGTTGAAGAACAGGTACAGCCAGGGTAAGGACTGGAAGGATGGGTTGGAAGCAGTTGGGAAAAACTAAGAGCCAGTGTTACCAATAAATAATTGTTGAATCTTGTCAGAGCTCACTGTATCTTGAAGAAACTTAAACTGGCTGAGTTCACTATTATTCATTTCCTCTAATTCAAACCCTTATATTTTGCAGTAATACTGGATTTGTGGGTCACTAATTTCCTTTTGTGCTGTATTCTTTTTGTGTACAGACAATATTGGTTGGATTTAATATTTATTATTCAAATTGAACAGCAAAAGGAGGCAGCTTCTAAAATGTAAAAAAGTAATAATCATCAAAGTAATTGTCTCCTGGTTTAGTTTTGGGTTTGGAGATAGGGTGCTTTTGTTGCTTGTTTTTTAAAGTCTAAGGTGTCAACCAGAAGGTGACTGACTGGGTGCAGAAAGAACCTTCGTAGCTGAAGTCTGGGTTGTAATTGCCCATTTTGAGACCTGACCTCCCTGCAGTTTGTCTGTACTGTGCCAGTGCCAGACTGAGAGGGCAGACTAGTCTGGATGTTTTTCTGAGCATGTCCTGAAAAGGACAAATGTGTTGGAGAGTGCATGACCTAGTAGCTTGGGGAAGTCTGAAATGGAGATCATAGAGCACAGTGAAATAAACATGGAGGCCAACATCTGTGTTCTGACTGGATCTAAAGGTGTCTGGGGGAGAGCTGTATTTCACTGTGTGAGGCAGGTAGCTTGAATATGATGGATGATGAGGGATACCTAATAGTTCTATGGCTGCCAAGAAGATGCAGATTAAGATAAGACTGACTTGAAAGAATTTTTTTTTTTTTTTTAAGAAGTGGAAAAATACCAGTCTTTTGCTTATCCAACCACAGGTCTAAACATGCTGGCCTTCCCTCACGCCCTCTCTCTCTACCCCCATACAATGAGAACAATTTCAGTAAAAGTTGTTTTGTTTGTGGAAAGAAGAGCAGGGATTTGCTTTAAGATGAATTTGTAGAAAGAATA